TTAAAAGAGGTTTTGTTTGTATGTTTGTAATTAAGCACAAAGCTACACAAAGGGCTATCTGTGCTCTGCCCACCACGGGTATCGAAACCCGGATTCTAGCGTTGGAAGTCCACAGACATACCGCTTGCCACTGGGGGGCTGTTGAAAGAGGAATAGAAAATATAAAAATAAACACTTACATTATCAGACAGGACAACATCACTAATTAAAAATAGAACAAGATTAAGAAAATGAAGATTGGTTATAACTATTTTTCTTTTATTTTTTATCTAGTTATCTTTATAATTAAGCACAAACTACACAATGGCTATTTATGCTGTGCTCATCACGTGTATCGAAACCCGATTTTTAGCGTTTTAAATCCGCACATATGCCGCTAAGCCACTAGAAGCTTATCTATATAGCTCAGTATTTATAATCGTTATATATGATTTCAATACTCAACAAGTCTTGTACGGTAGGCTTTTTTTTTCTATCTTTTGCCACATGCATTCTTCAAACCTACGGGTTAGGCATGACCTCTTGGTTGGTATGCCTGGGTTTTAAATACAAGGATTCATGATTCGCAACCCGTTACTGAAAAAACGCACTCCACATTTTGGTACCGTCCGTGCATTATAAGCTAGACTGTCAAATCCCACTATTCAATCAGATAAGAATAGTAGCTACGTTTTCTCTACCCTGTCAGTTGGAAATTATAGAAATCTATGCGAGAATAAACATCGTTTAGTTTTGAGCGAAAAAAATTTAAGCCTGAGAAACTTGAAATCATAAGTTTATAGCGGCCGCAGAAGCTTTTTCGTTTGTCAATTATATAAAATATTTTAGAGCTTCTCGTCAGTTTTTAAAGACGACTTTTAATCTAATAGGAAAACAGTGGGTTTTCAGGTAACTGTAAGTAACCACTTTCAAATACAAGTATTGGTTAGGCTTAGTTTGACAATAGGCCAAACAATGAGCTCTCAGGTAACTGTAAGTAGCCACATTCAAGTACAAGTATTGGTTAGGCTTAGCTTGACAATATGCCAAACAATGAGCTTTCAGGTAACTGTAAGTAGCCACTTTCAAGTACGTGTATTGGTTAGGCTTGGCTTGACAATAGATAAAGATGTCATTTTTTGATTTTGCAAATTGCTTCTTAGATGTCATCCAGGACAAAACGCAAAAACTTCTTAATAGAAAAGATAAGTTGAATGAGCGTATTAACTAAATAACTGCGTCTAAATCTCAGATATGTAATATGGAATAGAATGGATACTAAGTCTTACCATGTTCACCTTGGCTTTAAATTAACCCTAAAATTGATTAAAGAAATTGGTTGAAATAGTCATTTTCTATGTAAAACAATAATAAACGGGACTGATTGAAATTTTGATGGTATTTTTGTTTATATTTTTGGCCTGACTCATGTGTTATTAATGACATCCACAACCAATCTGGTTTGTTTTTTTGTTAATTTCGCGCGAAACTACTACTCTACTATTTACTCTTCACATTATAACTCCCCCCTACTGAAAGGGTGACGGGTTTCGATCCCGTGACTCGCAGATTACGAGTCTTAGACTTTGACCAATAGGTCATGCCAGACCCTAGCAATTTGGTACATAAATAGTTTAGAAAAATATGTTTCACAAGCAGTATAATGGCCCTTTGTTAATTCTGTGATTATCTTAAACTTTTATTAAAGTTCACTATTATATAAAAGTAATAATTAAATTTTATTGTAGAATTATTGTTCTTCGGACATTAATGATTAAGCTGGGATGAAATTAAAAACAAATTTATTGGGCAACAGATTTTTTTCTTCACTGGAAAACCACTATTTTGATAAAACACATTAACCTGTAAAAGGTGTTAAGACAAACGATTAGTGCTGCGACTAAAGACTTTACCACGATGTGTATGTTAAGACAAACGTTAGTGCTGCGACGTAAAGACTTACCACGATGTGTATGTTAAGACAAACGATTAGTGCTGCGACTAAAGACCTTACCACGATGTAAATGTTAAGACAAACGATAGTGCTGCGACGTAAAGACTTACCACGATGTGTATGTTAAGACAAACGTTAGTGCTGCGACGTAAAGACCTACCACGATGTGTATCTTAAAACAAATGTTAGTGCTGCGACTTAAAGACTTACCACGATGTGCGTGTTAAGACAAACGTTAGTGCTGCGACGTAAAGACTTACCACGATGTGTATGTTAAGACAAACGTTAGTGCTGCGACGTAAAGAATTACCACGATGTGTGTGTTAAGACAAACGATAGTGCTGCGACTTAAAGACTTACCACGATGTGTACGTTAAGACAAACGTTAGTGCTGCGACGTAAAGACTTACC